ACATCACACAAGCCTGTGTACCCACCACGACATTAACAATAAACAAAGAAGCCTCCGAAGAAATATATCATTTACTTCCCGCTACCAGAACGCCAAACAAATGGGTTATAAATGGTGGGAAGCGGTGGTTGCAGCAGTTGTTTGCCCAGAGAGAGGAAGGAAGGAATGAAGTCATCTTCACTTCATCATCCCATGCAAGAAGCATCCGTCTCTCAACGTGTTATCCTGATGTCGTGTCTGCACATTTGAGCATCCAGAAACAGGTACAAGCAGGATCTAGCCGAAATTTGCCGAAATTCTTCGTGAATTGTAAGTGGCGTCCCAGTGACTCCACGCTACAGCATCCCACGCTGTTTCTCAAGTCACGTGTTCAGCGTCACTTGTATGTTGCTGTTGTTGTTCAGCTCAGCACAGCTGTTTCAGCAAGCCAGAGGTGAGTTTTATGGTGATTTCTGTGTCCAGTGTGAGCTTCTCCACGTGTTTGTGGGTGGGGGAGGAGGAGGAGGAAGTGGCCGTTCCTCACCTTGCCCATGCTCGCCCTACTCATGCTCACCCGTCTACCATACACTCACCACTGCCCACTCCCTCTGCTGTGTTTTCTGCTGTTTTCCATGTGAATTCATTGCCAGAGCTGTGTATCCGAGTGCCCGAGGCCACTCGAAGCTACGTGGATCAGCATGCCACGTAGATCATGACACCACGTGGATCACGACGCTACATTGGGTGTGGGCGATGTCACGTGGACCTACGAGCTATGTGAGTTACCAGATGTCCCAGGCACATGCTGTGGTCTGCTGCCCGCATCACATTAACGTCACCGACGATGCTGCCTGACTTCATGACGTCACGATGTCTGCTGACGTCACCTCACATTGTCTGCCTGACGTCACCTCGAGATGTCTGCTGACGTCACCTCGCGACATCACATGATGTCACATCGAGTGTTTCTAGTAATTATTTCAGTATTGTCGAGAAGATTGAGAGAAGATATATGTCGTGTGTTAATTAATTCCTCTCAGTCAGTGTTCTCACATGTTAGTGTACCGCATGTACCGTGGGTGTGTTTAAAGTTTCCGTGTGTCCAGTGAGGTCTGAGCCAGACCTGAGTAGCACCACTGTGCTAAGTCACCCGTGTGACCAGTGCGTTTGACAGCTGATTTACTCAGCCCCCGAGTGACCGAGCCCTCTTTTACAGAAAGCTTTTATGCTCGTCGCTCGTGATGTTCTGCAGAATCGTACCTGCTACGATTCCCATCGAGATTTGTTTCACTTCACCTCCAGACCTTCAGAGTGCAGTTATATGTAGAGAAACAAGTCTGGGGACACTTAGGCTAACCTCTGCTATAACTCCAACTGCCGAGAGAATGACACTCGTCAAGCCGTAGTTAGCCCTGTCAGCAGGCGCTGTCAGCCTCGTGTCACAAGCTTTAGTGAGCAGCCTGCACAAAGAAGATGTCACTTTGACTGCTAGCTCTCTCACTGCAGTCTGGTGTATGATGTTACGACTCCCAGATGTTTCGCCAAGTCATCTCTGCCACAACTCGCTCCACAACTCGCTCCACGCTCGTCGGCAGTGACAGCCCAGCGACAGTACCAGTCGAGAAGTGTCCTCCTGAGTCGCTTGCCAGAAGTCCTGCCCAGTTGCCGAGTTTTGTTGACGCCTCACTCGAGGGCACCAGCATGTCATGCTCCAGGTTGAGTGAAAACCTGCAGTGACTCCTACGATGACTGCTTCACCATTCCAGAGGAGACCGTACCCTGTTACGTCACAGCTCAGCCACAGCGATGTCTCCCATGTTGCAGTATCTGTCCAGACACAGGAAGGCATGCAGTGATGCCCATCAACGCTCAGTGCCTTTGACCACGATGTTTAGCACACCCCACATGTTTTTTTCTTCCCTCTCTGTAGGAAGTTTTTTTTCCATGTCCATATGTATATATATGTTTTTATTTTGTGTTCTGTGCCCTGTTCCTACGAGAGAGAGACCGAGTTTCTTTTACCACCAGTATTGTCGCGTCGGGACGACGAGCGGTAGGTGGCCGAGCGTGTGTAGACAGCCTGTACTGTCTGCACAGACAGCCCATGCTGTCTGCCAGCTAAGTTCATATTTCACGCCACTCATGTGTTGCCCTCTGTAGCCAGGCCTCTCGGGCACGGCAGCCTGCCTGCCCTTGCCTTGCTCTCACTCACACAGCAGCCTAGCAGGAAGACACAAGGCCTACTCCTAGCTCTCTCTCGTGGGCATGGCCCTCCCGGGCCATGGGCACAACACACAAGCCTGTGTACCCACCACGACATTAACAATAAACAAAGAAGCCTCCGAAGAAATACATCATTTACTCCCCGCTACCAGAACACCAAACAAACTCGTTATACACACACACACACACACACACACACACACACATGAAATGGCAGTGAAGTATGTGAGGAACTCAACAAGAGTTTCAAAGAAGTGTTCACAGAGGAGACAGAAGGGGCTCCAGAAAGACGGAGAGGTGGGGCACACCACCAAGTGCTGGACACAGTACACACAACCGAGGAAGAAGCGAAGAGGCTTCTGAGTGAGCTAGATACCTCAAAGGCAATGGGGCCGGATAACATCTCTCCATGAGTCCTGAGAGAGGGAGCAGAGGCGCTATGTGTACCCCTAACAACAATATTCAATACATCTATCGAAACAGGGAGATTGCCTGAGGCATGGAAGGCAGCAAATGTAGTCCCACTCTTTAAAAAAGGAGACAGACATGAAGCACTAAACTACAGACCAGTGTCACTGACATGTATATTATGCAAAGTCATTGAGAAGATTATCAGGGGAAGAGTGGTGGAACACCTAGAAAGGAATGATCTCATCAACAGCAGCCAACATGGTTTCAGGGACAGGAAATCCTGTATCACAAATCTACTGGAGTTCTATGATATGGTGACAGCAGTAAGACAAGAGAGAGAGGGATGGGTGGATTGCATTTTTTTGGACTGCAAGAAGGCGTTTGACACAGTTCCACACAAGAGATTAGTGCAAAAACTGGAGGACCAAGCAGGGATAACAGGGAAGGCACTACATTGGATCAGGGAATACTTGTTAGGAAGACAGCAGCGAGTCATGGTACATGGGGAGGTGTCAGAGTGGGTACCTGTGACCAGCGGGGTCCCACAGGGGTCAGTCCTAGGACCAGTGCTGTTTCTGGTATTTGTGAATGACATGACGGAAGGAATAGACTCCAAAGTGCCCCTGTTTGCAGATGATGTGAAGTTGATGAGAAGTTCAACCCCACCAAGTGCAAAGTCATGAAGATTGGGGAAGGGCAAAGAAGACCGCAGACGGAGTACAGTCTAGGGGGCCAGAGACTACAAACTCACTCAAGGAAAAAGATCTTGGGGTGAGTATAACACCAGGCACATCTCCTGAAGCGCACATCAACCAAATAACTGCTGTAGCATATGGGCGCCTAGCAAACCTCAGAACAGCATTCCGACATCTTAATAAGGAATCGTTCAGGACCCTGTACACCGTGTACGTTAGGCCCATATTGGAGTATGCGGCACCAGTTTGGAACCCACACCTAGTCAAGCACGTAAAGAAACTAGAGAAAGGGCAAAGGTTTGCAACAAGACTAGTCCCAGAGCTAAGAGGTATGTCCTACGAGGAGAGGTTAAGGGAAATCAACCTGACGACACTGGAGGACAGGAGAGATAGGGGGGACATGATAACGACATACAAAATACTGAGAGGAATTGACAAGGTGGACAAAGACAGGATGTTCCAGAGATTGGACACAGTAACAAGGGGACACAGTTGGAAGTTGAAGACACAGATGAATCACAGGGATGTTAGGAAGTATTTCTTCAGCCACAGAGTAGTCAATAAGTGGAATAGTTTGGGAAGCGATGTAGTGGAGGCAGGATCCATACATAGCTTTAAGAAGAGGTATGATAAAGCTCAAGGTTCAGGGAGAGTGACCTAGTAGCGATCAGTGAAGAGGCGGGGCCAGGAGCTCGGACTCGACCCCCGCAACCTCAACTAGGTGAGTACAACTAGGTGAGTACACACACACACACACACACACAGTTTTAAATGTAGGTACGATATGGGCACGAAGCTAAGAGGGAGTGAATCTGAAGAGTTCTAAGTTAATTAAGAAGCAGGGCCAGGAGCTGAGACTCGACCCCTGCAACCACAAACAGGCGAGTACAGTAGTGTATATACTTTCACACAAGAATACATACACTCATGCATATGCACACATACATGCATATACATATGTATACATACAAAAAGTGTACATTCATGCATACATACATAGGCATATACATATGCTTATGCATGCATACGCAAAAGCATTTATGCGTATATACACACACTAGAATTTGATCACTGACATGCATTATCATTTACGTGTGCATTGAGGGAGAGGAGGCTGGGCTTATGGGACATGGGGATACCTTTCTCGGGTCGCGCAGGGACCGATAATACATCTAGTTTAGTTGTGTGTTAGATGCACCTAGCTTCTAGTTTAAGCTTTTTTGAAAGCCGAACCTAAGTTGTAGTTTATAGATGGATGGTTCAGAGAACCGACATGTTGATAAATTAGACACATGTGCAACTCTTGGGTATCTTTATTGAGGAAACGTTTCGCCACACTTCTTGGGCACGACCTACTTCCACATTGAACAAATGTGACACCACCTATGACTGCTGCATCTCTCCTGCCATACGGTTTATAAGCTGCTTCTCCACTCATATGCCGTATTCTACTCAAGATTGATGGACTGAACACATCGACTCAAGGTTGAGGGACTGATTACCTCATTCTCCTCCTGTTCTTCAAGTTTCTCCTACGTATGGACTGATGAAGCCACTGTGTGGCGAAACGTTTCCTCAATAAAGATACCCAAGAGTTGCACATGTGTCTAATTTATCAAGTTGTAGTTTAGCTGTGTGGTAGATTCTATGGTTTCCTAAGCTCGTGTTTTCTTGTCATGTTCCTGGTTACAGACAACGAGGCTCAGAGGTCTGCTGGAAAAGGAATTCCCCTCATTGATGAACGCGTCCTTTCTCCTCACCTACTACGTCGCCTCGGCCAACAGGGACCTCAGCATGATTGGTGAGTAGTAGTAAGAGGAGGAGGAGGAGGAGGAGGAGCAGGAGGAGGAGGTCAATATTTATCTTAAGATGCCTGAGTGCGGCTGTTGTTTATTTGTTTACCATCAGGCGAGAGGTTGAACTTCCAATTTAACAACTGCCTCTCTCCTCGAGAGTAACAAGATTAAAACTTAACAAGCCCAAATTAACGTTAGTCATTAGGTATTCCAGGATGCAAGAATAATATCTCCAATAGTATTCTCAGACTTCAGAGTGTGCATTAATGGTAATCATTTGACTTCTACATTAAACAGGTAAGAATTCTCAAGCATACCTGTGCAGTAAATCATAGGTGTAATTAAATGTTAAATGCTAATTCCATTTACTTTATAAATGAAGATTTTATATAATTTTACAGAAATATATCATATAGTATTGCATAATTTCAGTGAAGTTATATATAAGTGGGTTTAGAATAGCTCAAATAACACCTCGGATAAGGTGATAAAACAAGTGAGAAGCTACTGTACACTCAGTATTTGAAACCCCTTGGCTAAAGCATAAAAAAGAGATACAACCGTTTTAACATACTAGCGGAAACTGTATCATCATACCATGTCTCTGAGGATAACTAGGTCATTATAGCATGTACACAAACGATTTCCGTGTCTCAGAGGCTATCCCACTAGCGTGTACATGGAGAGGCAGTGCTGCGTCTGAGAGGCCATACTGGAATGCAGTGAAAATATTATGCAAAACTCCTCTGCTTTTTTTAGTAATTAGCGGCTGCAACACATGAAACATGACTAAGCTTATTATTTAACATCCAAGACGTAGAATAGGAGTGAGATGGGCCGGCCGTGTAGTGCTCTGGCAGTGCTCTGTGCCCATCTTCGTTTTTGATACCAACTGGAGCACTGTTGACAGTCTCCTGTGTCAAACACTGTACCATATTCGAGCAGCCGTGAAAGACATCCCACCCTACTTGCCTCTGAGAAAAGAGTAACCGAAGTGTGGCTAATAGTAGTTTGCCACTTGTAACTTGCTGTACAATCGAAGCCTTAGATTTTAACTTCGATATACCAGAGATTTTAACGTAATTAAAATAATTATTACAGAACATAGCTTGAAGAAATGAAAGAGCGACAGTTTTATTGTTCACAGTAGTGGTACTACCTTCATGACTTAGCTATGTCATGTCTATATCTGAGGAACATCTCTCGTGAATATCTGACATCTGCACAATTTCCTATACTATTTTTCCATATTATGAATAAGAGTTCACGAATGTACTTGGAATATGATTATCCTAAAATGTAGCTGAGTTACACCTTCATCTGAGAGAAGGTCACTGGCACTCAGATGAGCGTTGGACCACTGGCACTCAGATGAGCGTTGGACCACTGGCACTCAGATGAGCGTTGGACCACTGGCACTCAGATGAGCGTTGGACCACTGGCACTCAGATGAGCGTTGGACCACTGGCACTCAGATGAGCGTTAGACCACTGGCACTCAGATGAGCGTTGGACCACTGGCACTCAAATGAGCGTTGGACCACTGGCACTCAGATGAGCGTTGGACCACTGGCACTCAGATGAGCGTTGGACCACTGGCACTCAGATGAGCGTTGGACCACTGGCACTCAGATGAGCGTTGGACCACTGGCACTCAGATGAGCGTTGGACCACTGGCACTCAAATGAGCGTTGGACCACTGGCACTCAGATGAGCGTTGGACCACTGGCACTCAGATGAGCGTTGGACCACTGGCACTCAGATGAGCGTTGGACCACTGGCACTCAGATGAGCGTTGGACCACTGGCACTCAGATGAGCGTTGGACCACTGGCACTCAGATGAGCGTTGGACCACTGGCACTCAGATGAGCGTTGGACCACTGGCACTCAGATGAGCGTTGGACCACTGGCACTCAGATGAGCGTTGGACCACTGGCACTCAGATGAGCGTTGGACCACTGGCACTCAAATGAGCGTTGGACCACTGGCACTCAGATGAGCGTTGGACCACTGGCACTCAGATGAGCGTTGGACCACTGGCACTCAGATGAGCGTTGGACCACTGGCACTCAGATGAGCGTTGGACCACTGGCACTCAGATGAGCGTTGGACCACTGGCACTCAGATGAGCGTTGGACCACTGGCACTCAGATGAGCGTTGGACCACTGGCACTCAGATGAGCGTTGACCACTGGCATCAGATGAGCGTTGGACCACTGGCATCAGATAGCGTTGGACCACTGCACTCAGATGAGCGTTGGACACTGCACTCAGATGAGCGTTGGACACTGGCAACTCAGATGAGCGTTGACCACTGGCACTCAGATGAGCGTTGGACACTGGCATCAGATGAGCGTTGGCCTGGACTCAGAAGCGTTGGACCACTGGCATCAGATGAGGTTGGACCACTGGCACTCAGATGAGCGTTTGGACCACTGGCACTCAAGATGAGCGTTGGGACATGGCACTCAGATGAGCGTTGGACCACTGGACTCAGATGAGCGTGGACACTGGCACTAATGACGTTGGACCACTGGCACTCAGATGACGTTGTTGACCATGGCACTCAGATGAGCGTTGGACACTGGCACTCAGATGAGCCGTTTGGGACAATGGCACTCAATGAGCCCTTGAATTGGCACTCAGAGTTTCATTATCTCGCGCGTTTGTTCTGAAGACATTGCACAGAAATGAATCAGTAATACTCTGTATATTTCAGCTCATCAAACTCTTGAGTCCAGTCCTGGACAAGTTAATTACTCTGTAATCTTTGTACCAGTGTCACCCAGATGGTTGCTCACTTGAATACAAAATGTGGGCAATCCTGGACCATTACGACTTGTAATCTGTAATACCTTTGTAACTTGTCATGATGGACAGAACTACTGGAGTCATTCCTTTGTAAATTTTGAGCTCATTACCTTGTAAATTGTGAGTTCATTACCTTTGTAAATTGTAAGTTCATTACCTCTGTAACTTGCTCAGCTATCAAAACTTTGGAGTCCAGTCCCTGGACCAATTATGTACCTCTGTAATCTTTTGACTACCGCCCACAGGATGGGTATGGGGTGCATAATAAACATATTAAACTAACACGATTGCAAACAAACCATGGTACGGGTGGGGGTCGAACTCGTGGCAAGTGAGTCGTAAAACTCTAGGCCAGCCCTTAAGCCACTGGGCCAGCTGGCTACAATAAGATTCATCCAACTAGGCATATTTATACACCAGAGGATCTCACTTTCAAGGATCACAACAGTGCCACGATCGTAAGTGCAAAAAAAAAAAAATGATAGGATGGATAGTGAGAACGTTCAAAACGAGAGATGCCAAGCCAATGATGATCCTTTTCAAATCACTTGTTCTCTCTAGGCTGGAATACTGCTGTACATTAACATCTCCATTCAAAGCAGGTGAAATTGCAGATCTAGAGAGTGTACAGAGATCCTTTACTGCACGTATAAGTTCTGTCAAGCACCTTAACTACTGGGAACGCTTGGAAGCACTTGACTTGTACTCGTTGGAACGCAGGAGGGAGAAATATATAATCTACACTTGGAAAATCCTGGAAGGAATGGTCTCAAATCTGCACACAGAAATCACTCCCTACGAAAGTAAAAGACTGGGCAGGCGATGCAAAATGCCCCCAATTAAAAGTAGGGGCGCCATTGGTACACTAAGGGAAAACACCATAAGTGTCGGGGCCCAAGACTGTTTAACAGCCTCCCATCAAGCATTAGGGGAATTGCCAATAAGCCCCTGGCTGCCTTCAAGAGAGAGCTGGACAGATACCTAAAGTCAGTGCCGGATCAGCCGGGCTGTGGCTCGTACATTGGACTGCGTGCGGCCAGCAGTAACAGCCTGGTTGATCAGGCCCTGATCCACCGGGAGGCCGGTTCATGGACCGGGCCGCGGGGGCGTTGATCCCCGGAATAACCTCCAGGTAACCTCCAGGTATAGGGAGGTTAGCATGGGTCCCAATGTGACGACAAATGCAAGTTTTTACAGATGAATCTCCCGTCAGCATGGCCTTGACAAACTCTAGCTCAAGTCCCCTGAAAGCCGTCATCATGACTCCTATTGTAGCCAGTTGGTCCAGTGGCTTACACGCTGGCCTGTAGTGTTAAGACTCACTTGCCTTGAGTACGATGCCCGACCCGTACAGTGGTTTGGTTCCTCACTTGTTTCGCAGGATGTTTCTCACAACAAGCAGCTCTTAGTCGCTTTGTGAACTTGTTCGAATCTCTTACACAGGCGAGATAGTGGGTGCTATGGAGCGTGAGCCCCTAGGTGACGCTCTTCACTTAGTCATTCCTTCCACAGGCGAGTTGATGGGTGCTGAGAACCAGAAGGTTAGGCTCTTCAACTACTCCTTTCCCGATGACCTGACAGAACACAATGACACTTGGGTCACACAGACCTTTAAACTCCACAACTTCACCAGAGATGCCAAGTTTAGGGTAAGTCCTCTGGTGGTCATCCTCTTATATTTTGTTATATAGATCATTTATAGGTACTGTCAATGAGTATATACTTATTCACTGTTATTCTACAGTGAAAAGCTCTGTTCCACAAGGCACAGTACTCGCTCCCCTTCTGTTCCTCATCCTCATATCTGACATAGACACAGATCTAAGCCACAGCTCCGTGTCTTCCTGTGCAGATGACACCCGAATTGCCAAGACAGTGTCCTCAATCGAAGACACCGCAAGACTCCAAGCGGACATCAATCAAATCTTTAAATAGGCCGCAGAAAACAATATGAAGTTCAATGAAGAGAAATTTCAACTACTCAGATTTGGAAAACTTGAGGAAATTAAAACTGTAACAGGGTATAGAACAAGTTCTAACCACACAACAGAGCGAAACGCTAATGTGAAAGACCTGGGGGTGATAATGTCAGAAGATTTCACCTTTAAAGACCACAACAATGTATCTACCTCATCTGCTAGAAAAATGATAGGATGGATAATGAGAACCTTCAAAACTAAGAATGCGAAGCCCATGATAATTCTCTTCAAATCGCTTGTTCTCTCTAGGCTGGAATACTGCTGTACAATAACTGCCCCCTTCAAGGCAGGCAAAATTACTGACCTGGATATGTACAGAGAACTTTCATGGCAGACATAAGTACCATAAAGCACCTAAATTACTGGGAACAGTTGAAGTCCTTTGATCTGTATTCCCTGGAACGCAGGAGAGAAAGATACATGATACTATACACTTGGAAAATCCTAGAGGAATTAGTACCAAACTTGCACATGAAAATCACTCCCTACGAAAGCAAAAGACTCGGCAGGAGATGCAACATTCCCCCAATGAAAAGCAGGGGCACCAAGAGTACACTAAGAGACAACAGTATCAGGGGCCCAAGACTGTTCAACTGCCTCCCAGCATACATAAGAGGGATTACCAATAAACCCCTGGCTGTCTTCAAGAAGGCGCTTGACAGGTACCTAAAGTCGATACCTGATCAGCCGAGCTGTGGTTCGTACGCTGGATTACGTGTGACCTGCAGTAACAGCCTGGTTGATCAGGTTCTGATCCACCACGAGGCCTGGTCTCGGACCGGGCCGCGTGGGCGTTGATCCCCGAAACCCTCTCCAGGAATTCATCGGTCTAGTGAAACTCTGTGTCAATTTCTATTTCTACAAGTTCAGGATAACTAGTACAAAAATAGCTTTGGGATGGCGATGCGCATCTCCCCTTAGTGCTGTGCTTACCAACCTCTTCAAGGAGAATCTGGATTAATTAATAATTCATGTTAAGCGCTAAACTCATGTGGGTCATTCATCACAGACGCTTTTCCTGTTTGTACTCACCTAATTACTCAGAGAACCTGGAGACCGAGAGTTCAGCACCTTCATTTCCAACACAGTTTCTTAGCTAAGATACGGTGATAATATTTTGATATTCTACCCCAGACGTTTTGATATCAAGGCTCTCGCCAATAAAATCAGTGGCATCGAGTCATCTATAAAGTTCACAATGGAACTTGAAAAGCAAACTTCCTTTCCTCAATATTTTCCCTGGGAGGTCTCTCAACAGGACAAGTGATCATGTTCCAGGTTAGGTTAGGTAAGGTTTGTCAGGAAACAGGACAAGTGTTTTCTGACGCGGGTCTTAGTCAGATGATGACCCGCCGCTGGAGCTTTGGTCATCTGACCGAGGCCTTCCGCTGGCTTACCACTCCACCACTTTAAAAATAATGGTCATTTATAACCAATTAGTATCTGTATGATTACATCATGTTCCAGGAAATAAAACGTTTTCTAATAACTATGTCGTAGAGTTTGGTCATGTATCTTTCTTAAATCACTTGTTTGCTTCAATTACCGAGGTTTATCCCGTATCATGTTTGCCACAGAAATGATCCCTAACCTAACTTAACCCAGTAATTTACATCGATTATTCTAGACATCCATTCAATGCTCACTCGTAGGCTACGATTGGGATTTCTCCCTTGCGCCTATTAAATCTATAGCTGTCCTTTATTTGATTCCAAAATGCTTCTCAAAGCTTTCAGAGGATGCCAACTTACTATATCACTTCCAAATTCCCCAGGTGCATGTTTCTCAGGACAGATAGAACCGTCTGTGACGACTGACTAGGCACGTGAAATAAGTGTTTAAACCATAAAATGTGTAGGGGTAGTTAAGCCATACCTATAACCCTAACAAGGTATGGGTGTAATTTTGCAGATCAGGCTGTTGGTGGAAAGTGCCACAGTGGGCGTGTGGGCGGCCAGCATGTTGCAGGTATGGGGGATTCTACCACGCACGCCCATACCTGTTCTACTGACCACCCAGGCTCCAGAGAATCTCACAACTCAGGTCAGTACCTAACAAGGTCAGCTCGGTCACCCGAGTCTTGGCTTGTCGTCCTGAAAGACACATGTCTCAGTGTATTCCTTACATACAAGGAACTTACACATATCAGTGAGAAGGTAGATAACTTCTCACTTGTCATTATACCTCTAGCTCGTCATTAAAGAAAAAAAAACTTTCCACAGATATTTATGAAGAGAACTTAACTTTTCGCAAAGTATTTGTTACAGGTCATTAAAATTAGTTAACGCATTATTTATCATAACAAACTTATCTACCTTCTCACATAACATTAACTGCAAGCTAACTTCCTAACTTTTACCATGAAGGTTGCTCGTAGCTCAGTGGGAACTCTCGGCTTACCACTCAAATGAAGGGAGAAGTATGGTAAAACCTTAAGTCTGCTGCTCCTTTTCACCTGGCAGCAAAAAGGTACCTGGGTATTAGCCGTCTAGCGTGGGCGACATTCCAGACTTTGAAATGAGCTGAGGTAGTATATCATCACCTCTTAGACTATAAATTTAACGGTATAAAAACTTATCAGAATAACTTCTACATATCGTAACAATGAAAGCTAACTTGTTACAGGACTTACTGAATTAAACATGATTGTAAGCTACCTGTAGTGCTTTTTGGGGTCATCCACCCAGTGGCCCGGTCCCTGACCAGGTCTTTTGATAGATTGATCGATCAGGCTGTTACTCATGCTGCCCGCAGTCCAGCATATCTACCTCATCCCGGCTGATCAGGAACTGACTTGAGGAACTTGCCAAGTTCCCTCTTAAAAACGAGAGAATTGCTGGTAATTCTCCTTATACACAAGGGTAAGACGTCGAGTCGTGATCCCATCGCAAGATGCAAGATGCCATCGCAAAATCGCAAGATGCTTGGCGTCTTCAGATGCTCCCAGTAACTGAAGTGTTTGAATGAACTTTTACACGCAGTGAAGGTGCTCTGCACCTTCTCTAGCTCTGCAGTTTCGTCCACTTTGAAAGGGGCTGTCAGTGTATAGCAATATTCTGGCATTAGCTTGGCATCCCTTGTTTTGAAGGTTCTCTTTATCCATCCTGTTATTTTCCTTATGACTGTGATAGTGACACTATTGTGATCCTTGATGGTGAGATCCTTTAATATTATCGCTCCTACATCCTTCACGTTACTCATTAGATAAAAAAAAAAAAAACTCAGCAAGGCGAGTCTTCACCTGATAATTTTAAACTTGAGTGTAATCATTATCAAGTTTTCAAGAGAAACATAACTAGTACTGTTATACAGTACTGCATACAATCACAACATAATCTCCAGGATTTTGTTTGTGTTATGCCTATGTAACTCTAAAAGGGCCACTAACCAGACTGAGAGTCGAAGACCTAAATGAATTTTTTATGAGAGAGAGAGGCAGAATTTGGTAGACACACACCTATCTGATATTATCCTGACGCTAGATGACTTCGAAAAGGCGATAAATGACATGCCCATGCACTCTGCCCCAGGACCAGACTCATGGACCTCCGTGTTCGTCAAGAACTGCAAGAAGCTCCGATCACGTGCATTTAACATCCTGTGGAGAGGGAGCTTGGACACTGGGGTCGTCCCACAGTTACTAAAAACAAGAGACATAGGGGGCAGTGAAGCAATAGCAAAGAACTACAGATCGATAGCGCTAACGTCCCATATCATAAAAATCTTTGAAAGGGTTCTAAGAAGCAAGATCACCACTCATCTAGATACCCATCAGTTACACAACCCAGGGCAACATGGTTTTTGAGCAGGTCGCTCCTGTCTGTCCCAACTACTGGACCACTACGGCAAGGTCCTGGATGCTCTAGAAGACAAACAGAATGCATATGTAATATACACAGACTTTGCAAAAGCCTTTGACAAGTGTGACCATGGCGTAATAGCGCACAAAATGCGTGATAAAGGAATAACAGGAAAAGTTGGTAGATGGATCTATAATTTCCTAACAAACAGAACACAAAGAGTAGTAGTAAACAGAGTAAGTCTGAGGCGGCTACGGTGAAAAGCTCTGTTCCACAAAGAACAAGATGGTGAAAAGCTCTGTTCCGCAAGAAATAGAGCTTTTCACCATCTTGTTCCTCATTCTCATATCGGACATAGACAGGGATATAAGACAGTGCTGTGTCTTCTTTTGCAGATGACACCCGAATTTGCATGACAGTGTCCTCCACTGCAGACACTGCAAGGCTCCAGGCGGACATCAATCAAATCTTTAAATGGGCTATAGAAAATAATATGAAGTTCGATGATGAGAAATTTCAATTACTCCGATATGGAAAACGTGAGAAAATTAAAACTTCATCGGAGTATAAAACAAATTCCAACCACACAATAGAGCGAAAAACTAATCTCAAAGACCTGGGGGTGATCATGTCAAGAGGATCTCACCTTCAAGGACCATAACATTGTATAAATCGCATCTGCTAGAAAAATGACAGGATGGATAATGAGAACCTTCGAAACCAAGGATGCCAAGCCCATGATGACACTCTTCAGGTCGCTTGTTCTATCTAGGCTGGAATATTGCTGCACACTAACAGCACCTTTCAATGCAGGTGAAATTGCTGACCTAGAAAATGTACAGAGAACCTTCACGGCGCGCATAACTGTGATAAACTACCTCAGTTACTGGGAACGCTTAAAGTTCCTAAACCTGTACTCCCTAGAACGCAAAAGGGAGAGATACATGAATATATACACCTGGAAAATCCTAGAGAGACTAGCACCGAACTTGCACAGGAAAATCACTCCCTACGAAAGCAAAAGATACGCCAGACGGTGCAACATCCCCCCAATGAAAAGTAGGGGTGCCACTAGCACGATAAGAGACAACAAAATAAGTGTCAGGGGCCCAAGACTGTTCAACTGCCTCCCAGGGTACATAAGGGGGATTACCAACAGACCCCTGGCTGTCTTCAAGAAGGCACTGGACGAGCACCTAAAGTCAGTACCTGACCAGCCGGGCTGTGGTTCGTATGTTGGATTACGTGCAGCCAGCAGTAACAGCCTGGTTGATCAGGCCCTGATCCACCATGAGGCCTTGTCACAGACCGGGCAGCGGGGGCGTTGACCCCCGGAACTCTCTCCAGGTATGCTCCAGGTATAACTGCTGTTTATAAGACAATCTTCTCCCTGTTCTGGCTTCGTCCTTATGATAATAATAATAATAATAATACTATATCTTTATTTCTACCAGTACATGTACAAGGTATACAGACCATAGCTGACATAATGACATACTACTATATAGACAGCCGTTTGTTATGCAGAACATTTCCAGCAAATTAGATCAGTTTTGTTCCAGGATGCGACCCACAGTGGAGAGGTAAATATGATGTGATCAGTCCATCACATCACAGAGCAACACAATAGTATATTGGTACAGATCACATTTTCCACTTCTATATTGCTTAACCATTAGTTATAAGTGACAAGGGTTGAATTTGTGTGAAACCTACCTAACATGGGCCAATAGGCTTACTGCAGTGCTCCTCAATTTCTACTTTTTTGCTTCTACCATTGGGCCACGCCTTCTGCGAGGTCATAAAGATTTTCCGCGACTTACATCTGGAAGATTAAAAGGCTCTATCCCCATTCTTCAGCTTTACAGTTTTTTAGACTGGAGGTGAACATTTCTCAAGGCTGAGAAATGTTCAACTCCACTTTCATGGCTTATGGACTGATCACATCATTTTTATCTCCACTACTTCTACTGTCTCATCTGAATTCGTCTGAAGAAGTCTACTGTGTAGGCAAAATAATGACACCCATCTGTCCTGTAGCTCATTTGGTATCGCACTCAGCTCACACACTGAGGTCCGTGGTTCGATCCCCAGTTCGATCTCCCCTACTGTCCCTGTTCACTTATCAGTAAAATGGGTACCTGGGTGTTAGTGGACTGGTGTGGGTCGCATCTTGGGTCAAAACTGACCTAATTTACCCGAAATGCTCAGCATAACAAGCGGCTTTCTCCAAAGTAGTATGTCATTGATGTCAGCTATGGTCTATATACCTTGTACATGTACTTGTAAAAATAAAGATTATTAATATTATTATAGATATCTTAGTTATCCATTTGTCGGTGTTATCCATTCTAGTGTTAGTTTATTTACTTACCCATTGGTTTTGCCTTAATTTAGTATTCTTACCTATACCATATATCTTTCACTTACTTTATTTATTTACTCTATACTCTTATGACAATACCCTTTGGAAAAGGGAAAATCATTAGCAAGCATTTTCCTTTATCTGGAAGGCGTTTTCATATTCATTTTTCATGAGATGTGGCTTAATTTTACTCTACTTATATGTTATATAATGGTTTTAATGATCAGTCTAATTTGTGTTTACCAATTTTGTATTTCCTCGGCGGTTTTACATACCATTTTGAACACGTCTTAGCGTTTCTTTTCTTATCTTAGCTTATCTTAGTTTTCCCTCAGCTTTTCTTAGCCTTATGTTTACTTACCTCAGCTTGTCATGTTTTACCTTCATTTATCATTCTCACTTCATTAGATTTCTTTTTCACTTCCGCTTCATCCAGTGCTTAATGTATTTTAAAGATATCATCATCCTTCCTAATCCATTGTTTATCTAACTAGCAGTTAGGTAACACTGTGCTTGAAATAACTTTTACTCATGTAAAGTACTAAGATATGGGTAGAGTGCATATAGACTGTGTAGAGTGCATGTAGGGCCGGTTTAAGGCGTGGAGCTTTGAGGCTGCAGTCCAGGGACCTCCGCCAGCTGGAGGGCCTCCAGGTGCTGCAGTCCAGGGACCTCCGCCAGCTGGAGGTCCTCCAGGTGCTGCAGTCTAGGGGCCTCCGCCAGCTGGAGGTCCTCCAGGTGCTGCAGTCCAGGGACCTCCGCCAGCTGGAGGTCCTCCAGGTGCTGCAGTCCAGGGACCTCCGCCAGCTGGAGGTCCTCCAGGTGCTGCAGTCTAGGGACCTCCGCCAGCTGGAATGCCTCCAGGTGCTGCAGTCCAG